CTACATTGATTTACACCAGATGAGGTCTGGCCCATAAAATAAAGTTATAGCATCTTTTGATATTGCACCTCTATTCTCAAGAGAGAACACCGGGGTATGTTTTGTATGTGCAGTCTTTCTAAAAGGGCAATGTTGATAAGAGGGCAAGGGGAGAATTGCAATGATCTTCAGGATTTTATCATTGTTCAGGTATATATCTGGCTAAAACTTCAGGATTATACTTGTAATTAATCAGTGTCTAAAATAAAGATCTTGGCTAATCTGTAAATGGCAGCATGACAAGCTACCATGCAGGAGCTTAGAACTGGAGTCCAAGAACAGCTCTTTGCTTGTAGGACACTGGAATTTGGGAACAGTGTGGAGATAGCTAATTCAGATGCGGAGGCCATATGCTCCGTTCCCTTACTCTGCATTTGGAGGGATAGGATCAGAAGGCCCTAATCACTCAGAAAAAGCCCAGGAAGAACAGAGAGGAAATGTGACCATACAGTCATAGCCTCCCACACATTATATATCTGCCTCTCCCCCTTGTATGGCCTGTACAAGGGAATTAAGCTCTATGTTGCTGACCAGTAGAGAGGGAAGGAACAGACACAACAGATACCAAACACATATGCAATAGGGAATTTTATGAATATATCCCACCATTATGACCTCTGATGGCTTCTGGCATTTTTTTCCACTGTAAAGCAAGAAGAAGTATAACTAACAATGTCATTAAAAACAGGGCCATTTCCTGTGGCTTTCTGTCTGCACAGTGATTCACATTGGTGCTAACACCATTCAGCTGAACCAGAAAAATTACCCATATTCCAGTCACAGGCAGGAACAGTGTAGCTGCATTAGCGGTAACAGTGGAGTGAGTGCTAGAGTAGATGGAGTTGAGGCATTTTTGCCACCATGTCATGAAAACCTGCCTAGTGGTAATACCCATAAAGACCCCATAGGTTTCAAAGTATTTTGCAGTGCCCCTTTTGGAACCATATTACTCCTAGCACGTCCCCAGTGCCAGTACTCTACTGCCATTGACTGTCTTGCTCAGGGGCGGCTCTATGTTTTTTGCCGCCCCAAGCACGGCAGTCAGGCAGCCTTCGGCGGCACGCCCGCAGGCAGTCCGCTGGTCACACGGATTCGGCGGCGTTTCTGCGGGTGATCTGCCGATCCTGCAGCTTCAGTGTACCCACCGCCGAATTGCCGCCGAAGCCACAGGACCTGTGGACCTCCCACAGGCATGCCGCTGAAAACTGCCCATCTGCCGCCCTCACAATGACCGGCATGCCGCCCCCTGCTGCTTGCCACCCCAGGCACATGCTTGCCGCGCTGGTGCCTGGAGCCGCCCCTGGTCTTGCTGCCAATCCTGTACCCGCCATCTGTTCAGGAGTATTACTGCTGATGAAGGCAAAAATAAGTGTGCACAGTCCTGCTTTGAGCAATGACTGTAAAAATGACAGCCTGAGTTTCCATGCTTGTTGTCTCTGTGACTCCTGGTCTAACGTGCTCAGTTGCTTTCTGTTCCTCTTTGCCAGCCCTGCTTCCTGACATTGGGATCTCAAAATCAAGCTGGGTCCTTTCCTTCTTATGCATCATCGCCTGTAATAAGGATCCAGAGGAACAAATGATGACACCCCTGTCACCCATTATCGGCAATGGGGTTGCACAGGTGTAACAGCCTGGAATTAATTAACAATTCCCGCTGATGATGCATAAGCAGGAATAGAATCCAGCTCATTCTCTTAACTGTGTTGGCTCAGCCAGGCTAGCAGGAGTAAAACAGTACAGTCTTATTTTGTCATTAATGTCAGCAGAAATGGTTCTGAGTATGCAGAGGGATCAGATCTGCTGAGGAGGAAGATGCCATGTTTACATAGCCATTTCCAGAGTACTTTGTGAGGCAAATTACCTTGTAGCTTACACTGCTCTCAGAGAGTAACATGCCACCTCAGGTGAGTCGGCGTGTCTACATTCCAACAATGGCCAACTGCAATTTAGCTGCATCAGTGCTAAGCTGATGCTGTAGATAGGGCCCCATGAAGACCTGCTTAGTCATTCCTCCTGCCTCACAGACTGAGAAGGAGGTGAGGGTTCAGGACTGGTCATGGGGCAGCCAGAGGCAGTGGGGCACCTTTGCTAGCTGTGTGCCCAGTGCTGTGGGTGAGCCCGTAGCAGTGTGGCGCCAACAAAGGCCTTGCAAATGGTTTGGACTCAATAGGGTCTTCCCTGGCATTACATGTTGATCTCAATCTTGATGCTTTGCAGCTTCTACACAGTGGGCCAGATACTCAGCTGATGCCAATCAGTATAGTTCTATAGACTTCAATACAGCAGTGGAGATTTACACCAGTTGAGGATTTGGCCCATAGACTCTGTAGAACTACATTGTATGCCATATTTTTCTCCTCCCATGAGTGCTGCATCAAAGTGCCTTTGTTAATGTACAGATAAGTGTGCTTCGTAAAAACACCAACTGTAAGTAGATTTTTACATGATAATCATGTAATCGTTTTTGTGTGGTTTGCTGATTGGAGAACATTTTGATCAGCAATAAAATGCAATTTGTTTTCTCTTCGAAACAAGAAAAACTCATGTTGGCAGGAAGGAGGGAGTAAATTTACTTTATAATCAGCAAATCATCATGAGCAAGTAGATCGGTGTTGAGATAAAGGGTAACGGAAATGAGACATTCCCATTATGTGCCCTCTCTTCCCCATTTGCTGTTTCACTCACACATTCACTCGCACACCCTTCTGCTACAGAGCAAATAAGTTGCTTTATTCATAGTTCACAATAGCAATGCACCATAAATTGGCTAGTATTGAATGTGTGTGAAAAGACCATTCTCCACGAACACTTACATCCCCCGCAAACATCTTTCCCAGAGAGTACTAGCTATCAGACACATACTTCTTTGATCACTACTACACCATCTAGCTAGTTGTTACTATATTTTACTATCATTTTCAGATATTCATATGCCCCAACCAAATAACATAAATATCTGTTTCTTTCAAGCATATGATTTAGCTGGCAAAGGTTATACAGATGCACCGTTAGGGCCTGTCCTATTCCCCTTGTACAGTAGTCAGTGAGAATTTTAACTAAACAAATAAGTTTATTGTTTCAAATATCAATTTGGATTGATTTTACTTTCCTAATGTTAACTGGGACTGTCCAAATCCTCCCTCTTTTGAATACATGCATTTGTTACTGTTTTTAAATGATTAAATGTGACAGTAACTCCCTACCCAGCTGTTTCAGCGTTAAGACTCTGAGCTAAGTCTTTTTTTTTTCTTTTTTTTTTTGTTTTGCCTCTTAGGGAAAACCTCCCAGCAATTGCCCATAGAGTCTGGTTGCAAGTGAAATCCATATGTAATGCTTCTGTCAGCAAAGACTTGCTAAAAGAGAGTTTATAATAAATATTCGCATCTGGTGCTTTGGACACCCTAATCCATCCTACAGATCTTTGCTGTGTCAGGCTTTGTTTTAGATGAAGAAGCCCGGTAGTTATAAAGGTTTGCAAATAAAGCATATTTATCATGGTTAGCTCTACTTCCATACTTCCACCTCTTGTACAAATAGCCATGACCACACCAGGCATAACCTGTGATTTAATGTTCTCAATGCATTTTTGAGATTATTTTGCCAAAATGTTTCACTTGATAAATGGAGAAAATGGCATTTGTTTATCTCGCACGCTGTCAAATGAAGCCATCCTATTGTGGTGAGCATAACAAGAGACATCATTGTCGTGAATTATTCTGAAAGGATGAACAATATATTTCCAGGATAAAATTTACATCAGATTCTGATACACCAGACCTTGTGGCTTCAGCATCATTAAAATTACATTTTCTTTTGGGCCAGATTCTTCCCATGTACTTGTTTGGTCATAAGTCCTGATCAGCTATTCATGGAGTAGCTGTGGCCACACTTGGCCCTGTTTTCCCTACTCTTCGTCAAAAACTTTTGCTTCAATACCGCATTGACTTTGTCAATGTCAGCATTAATTCAGCTTCTCTGGGTGATATGTCTTTGCTTTCAGGGGGAAAAAAGTACCGATACATAAAAAAGGGCCATAATCATTCTGAGGGTATATTGAACCTGCCTCTAATAGCTAAAGGTGTTTGACCAAAATCATGACTTGAAATACAATGATGGCTTTGTTGAGCAGACCATATCTGCCTTGAAATGAATGTATTGATTTTTTTTTGGTTGGGTATTGTTATTGTTGTGTGTGTACGGACATATGTGAAGATCCTGATTATTGCAGTTAATTTCGAAGCAGAGAGATTCTCTCATCTGATGGCTGAGAAAATAAGGGGTGATTCAAATGTATCACTTACCAGCCGTTAGTCATGCTTTTTATTTAAACTGCAAAATAATAAACTTATAAATACATACTGGGCTTATTTAGACTGATAAGATATAGAGGCCGCTTGTTCTATAAATAAGTGCAAGGAAGCTTTGGACTTCTTAAAACCTTCCCGCCATCCCCTTTAACTGCTGGATCCACTTCTATATTAACTGTTTAATTAGGCTGGGAGTTTTCATGGGAACCTAAGGGAGTTATGTGCTCAACTCCTGCTAAAGTTCAATGGAATTTAGACGCCTAAACTCACCTAGGCACCTTAATTTATTATGCTGGGAATATCAACATTAATGGGCCGGATTCTGGTTCATTTAGGCGAGATATGGCATCTTAATCCAGGAGTGCTGACTGATTTGAGTGAAATTACCTGTGGGCTAAAGTGCTTCTCAGCGAGAGTATCAGAATCTGGCCCTAAATCATTGAACCAAAATAAAAATAGACTAGATGCCTTCCCAATGAGCCGCAAGTCCAGGTCCTCACGCTGACATCTCCTCTGTTGTTATTGATGGATGTCGCTTTCCGCTCCATCTGGGTGCATTTCAAGCAAGAGTCCACAGCCTCAGCCTTCCCAGCTGCAGCCTTTGCGCCCTCCGGTCGCCTTCTAGCCCTCTGACGACTTTGCTCTGAATTGCAGGTCACGTCGTGGCCCTGGCGAGCAACGACGGCACGGTGAAGACCCTGGCACTCAACTCGGGGCAGCTGTCCAGCTTGGTGGGCCACGAGGACGAGGTGCAGAGCGTTGTCTTTGATCACAAGGCAGAGCACCTGCTTTCGGGGGGCTCGGATGGAACCGTTCGACTCTGGAGTTGAGTGAGCCCCGCTGGGTGTCCGGGTCAGGGCAGGCTCAGCGCCTGGGGGGACCGATTGGCCACCAGGCCAGCAGCCATTCACCGGCCAAATGTCTTCGCCCTTATTGTTTGCAGGGCGCGGTCATTGCGCGAAACGGTGACATGACTCGAACTCTGCCTTGGAGCCAAATAAAGTCCCGCATTTCTCTTTGTGCGGAAGCGTGTCTTTCTGAACCTCGCCTTTGGCTGCTGCTGGAGCAGTAGCTTTACAATGACGCCTAATGCCAGCCCAGACGAATTGCAAGGAGGCCGGTTTTGACTGTAACACAGCGAGAGCCACAAGAGCTCAGCTACACCCCCCCCCCCCCCCCCCACCCCCCCCCCCCCCCCCCCCCGTCCTAGCCTGCGATCCGCTCCGAAGTTTGAATAATGCAGCAACGTGGGGCTGTTTCTCTCTCTCTCCTGCAGCGAGCGGGCTGAATGCCGGCGGGGCGAGGAGGGGAGTTGGCGAGAGGCGCCTCTGCCTCCTCCTCCAGTGGCTGCAGGGAGCTGACAGCCCAGCGCTGGCCCCCAGCCCTGCGGTGTGATCGGGGGAGCGGCTCCGGATTGAGCAGATCGGGGTCGGGGAAGGGGCGGGGGGGTGGCTGCCCGCTGCCGGTGCGATCTCCTGACGCGTGGGTGTAGTCACGGCTCTGCCGCTTCGCCCGGCCCCCGCGGAATGGCCCGTCCCAGGCAGGGCTCTTAGCCCGCCCGGCGCACGATGCGGAGCGCTGGCCGCGGCGCTGCAGGGACCCCGGCGGCGGGCACCCTGCGCCCGGCCACGCGGCTGCGGGGCTGAAGCCCGGGGAAAGTTGCTCCCGCTGGAAGCAGCGTCGGGGGGATGGTGCCGGCTGCCTTTCAGCCGGGGCTGGCTCTGAGCTCCCCCAGCCGGCGGCGGCTGCCGCGCCCGGGCTGCTCCGCGTAAGCCAGCCCCGCTGCGGAGTGCCGGAGCCCCGCGGAGATCCGGAGCAAGTGGGACGCGATGCTGGAGACGAGGCAGCCTCGCCTCCGGAGCTGCTGCTTGCTTTGAATGCTGAACACCGGGCGGAAGCGTCCTTCCCCTGCCCTGCCCTGCCGCGGGGGCCGCCGCCGCTGCTGCGAGATGGGAAGGGGTTGCCCGGGACTCGGCAGAGGAGCCGCTTTCACTAACCCAGCGCTGCCCTTTTAGTCCAGGTTGGGCTGTGACCCCCGGCAGCGTTACCCCCCGAGCCTGCCAGGTGAGTATACGTGATTCCCGGGGGCAGAGCCGCGCTTGCTCCCGGAGTCAGCCGCTCACGAGAGAGGATGAAAAAGTTGAACTGTTCAACTAATTCGTCGCGGAGCCGGGTTTGTTTACTCGGCGAAACCCTTCCCCAGAAAGGAGGTGCAGTCGGGTCCGTTTCCCTCCCATTCCTGGGGCTTTGAAATTGCTGTGGAGCATCTAAGATGAGCCCAGGCTGTACCAAACCAGCATTGATTTATATGTAATCCTTTCCGTTTTAGTGCCTGGCCATCAAACGTGGATGGGATTAGTGGGCTGGTTGGAGCATTTCACATTACCTCATATATCAATTGCTTTCCTGATGGCTGTTCCCCCCCCCTTAAATCTCCACTTACCTGAGCTTTGAACATTGATACCTACCTGTGGCTTCTAGGTGGGCAAAACTCTTTACTTTACCCAGTTCTATGATGCAGACTTATCTGTGTGCATCACACTTTAAAAAAAACCCCAGCATGTTAGAACAGCTATTGCTGGCAGTACTACAGTACCTTGCCCTTGTGATAAAAACATATCGAGAACTTCAATTAAGAGGATATCTTATGGTTTTGACAAAGCTTGTGTAATATCCGGTGTCTCCCTCTATAGTAGCTTTAGAAAAACTGCCTTTTTTAGCAGGATCCTTTAGCCTCTCTTGTGAGGTTATAGCTTTCTCCTGATTCATTCTTTTGGACGGATTTTATTAATATAACCATTTAACATCAATAATCATGAAAAATCTGAATATACAGGAAATGTTTCTTTTGAGGGAAGAGGAAATAGATATCCATATGAGTATGTGTGCATTTCTACAGATATGTGTGTGTGTGTGTGTGTGTAAATACACATACCTATATTCATTTATTTGTGTGTATGCTATTAGCAGAAACTGCATACCTCACTATTAATAAACATAAAGCTAATATTTTTCAGTTCATAAAAAGTTCCCTACAAATACTTTTCACTATAGGACAGCCATTCCCTGCCCAGTTATCCGAAAACAGTTGAGAGACTATTTTTCTGCTGGCATTACACTGGCATCCGAATGGCATTTAGAAAAGGATTGAGAACGTGTGCATTGGTGACAGGGATGTGACACACAACACAGACAATAATGTAACAGGAAAATATGTGCTGAGTCTTTCTTTTTTGCCTAATTCTTCCTGGGCCAGGGCCAGGCTTTCCTCCCTTTTCAGATCAGTCAATCATCACCTTGGCCATTTAAGTATTACTCTCCATTGCCAAATGGTCTGGGTGTTGTACGTAGCTGCGATGGCATATTAAGTTTTAGAATGAAGACTGTCACTAACCTAATGAGACAAATATATTACGATAATTCTGTGCGCTTGCCAGACATTTTAAAATACTGATATATAAACTCCTACCTGGAAATTAATACAAATCTGAATACTGCTTCCCGGAAAAAAGTCAGTGTCTAGAAATACTGAATAAGGACATTGGACTATAGGAAAAAAAACTACAGACTTGACAGATGTTCTCAGCCCAACCCCTTTACCTTTCTCTGCAAAAATGCCACTTGTAAAACACTGTTACATTCCATCTCTCAAAGTCTAAATAAAATACAGGATTGTCTTTTGTTTTTGAAGCTCAAATCTGACCAGAGCTCATACTATTATTGTTTTACCTTTTGTTTTTTCTGCTAAGGCGTCTCCTGATTCTTTATTCTCTTGATTTTAAGAAACTGAGCTGTGTATTGTAGCTGAGATGGGGTATTGGTTACAGCAAAAGGAAAGGAACAGTTCCGATCCTGCGTTCAGTCCCAGTGAATTACCCACTCACTATGCGATTGCAGGCAATCATTCCACTTCTTTGTGTGTCAGATGACCCAATTGTACAAATAGGTAAAAGCAAACATTGGTCATCAATGTAAGTCAGCATTTGAGTGGAGATTTCATATGGGACGGTGTATGCATGCACATGTACGTGTGTATATATAGCTCTCTATATATGCAATTGCTAGCTTTAATGTACATATTTAGTATGCTTTGTTCTCCTTAGGAATAATTGAGGATAGGAGACTTGTTTTGTTTTGAAAGCACTGTATCTCCAGATACAGGTTGAAAGCATGGTCTTCAGACGTCTGTTTTTGTTAATATTTCAGGTTATTCTCATTTTAAATATTTGTTTTCAGACCACCTCTCTGGTGTCCCTATGGAAGCAGCTGTTTCTATCTGAGATTAGGACCGTATGCAGAAGTTGAGGAGGGGGATGGCTTGTCCTATTCATGAAGCCTGCATACTTCTGTTGCTAATACTTGGGTTGGTCACCCCAGCTGCCATCAATCATGAAGACTACCCTGCTGATGAAGGCGACCAGACTTCAAGTAATGACAATCTGATCTTTGATGACTATCGAGGGAAAGGCTGTGTGGATGACAGTGGCTTTGTATACAAACTGGGAGAACGTTTTTTCCCAGGGCATTCCAACTGTCCTTGTGTCTGTACTGAGGATGGACCTGTTTGTGATCAACCAGAATGCCCTAAAATCCACCCAAAGTGTACTAAAGTGGAACACAATGGATGCTGCCCAGAGTGCAAAGAAGTGAAAAACTTTTGTGAATATCATGGGAAAAATTACAAAATCTTGGAGGAATTTAAGGTATGAGCTATCTTAGTATTTATTCAATACTAACATGTTATATGAACTTTAGTGGTTGGACTTTCAAAGGCACTCGGTATTGGCCTATCTCTGCTCCCACTGAAGTTAGTGGTAAAACTCCCATTGATTCCAGTGGGAGCAGAGGTAAGCCAATGCTGAGCACTTTTCAAAAATCCCAACCCAAATGTGTACAACAAAAAATGCCGGTATCGTGCTCGGAGAATTAATATTCACAAGTACATCAAAATATGTAACTGTTGTTAGCATTTGGACTTGCTATGTCTGGTTAAATAGTGATAATCAAGCTCACTAGTAGCTAAATTTCCATGCAGGTGACTTTAAAATAAAGGGAAATATATGGCTAAATAATTTATCGTAACTATCAAGTTCTCATTGGGAGTGTTGGGGTGAAAGTCCTTTTGAAAGAAACCTTAAATGTAAGACCAAAACATATTTTCTAAAAATCTTTACCATTAACACAACATATGTTTGTGATTTTAATAAGTTAGATTACAGGTTTTCCATTAAGCTAAGGAAAATGCATACTTCTGTTGCAGTAGCATCTATACCCAACATATGAATTTAGAACATGTGGCCTCCAGATTCATAGCTCAATAATGAAGACTTGCTTTGAAACGCAACCTTTAACTCTTCATGGATATAAGCCTTATCCCTTTATATACTTGGCAGTTTCTTTTCTTCTTTGGCAGTGAAAATACTTTCACCTCAGTCTTTGTATTTTCCAGCATTTCAGTAACACAAGATAGAACTTCTTTATTTCCAGATAGTATCTTCTCTTGCTGTTGTTTCCTGTAGTAAATAGTATATTGTTTAGTTTTTCTTTCATGGGGGATTTCCCATCCACCCATAACTTGCATTAGTCAGAATAGGGCTTGTCTTCACTATCGGGGTAAGTCGACCTAAGTTACGCTACTCCAGCTACGTAACTTAGGTCAGCTTACCCTGGTGTCTTCACTGTGCTGCGTCAATGGGAGACATTTTCCGGTCAACTTCCCTTACTCCTCTCGGAGAGCTGGAGTATTGGGGTCGACCGGAGAACACTCTGCCGTTGATTTAGTGGGTCTTCACTAGACCCATTAAATTGATCCCTGCTGCATTGATTGCGT